AAATATACTCTAGTATTCCATGCATACAGAAAATATGCACACTTTGCACAGTATGAACACTATTTACATTCCAAATTGCCTCTAATTCATCAGCATTTATGGGATTTCACTTCAGGTCACAAAAATAAGAAGCTGATTTTTTTTTTCACAAGACATTTTTTGAAAGTAATATTTATGTTTTTGATTGGAAATATTACTTGGTGTGCCTTTAAAAACTGTACATTTTAAATGTGCACACTAATGTTAAAAATTGGGGGTTTGGGTTTTGAAAGATGTCTCTTTTTTTCTCACCAATGTTGCATTTATAAAAATGGATAACAACAGTAATATTGTGAAATATTATTACAATTTAACAGACTGTTTTCTATTTTAATATATTTTAAAATGTAATTTATTCCTGTGATGCAAAGTTGAATTTTCAGCATCATTACTCCAGTCTTCAGTGTCACATGATCCTTTGATTTGCTCACATGATTTGCTGCTCAAGAAACATTTCTGATTATCATCAATGTTGAAACAGTTGTGCTGCTTCATATTTTTGTGGAAACCATGATGCATTTTATTTACCAGGATTCTTTGAAAAATACAAAGTTCAAAAGAACATCATTGCACATTGCATATTTAAAAGAGAAAGTGCCACAAAGCTCTGTCTCCTCACCTCTTTGAGTTTTTTGGCCCAAGGTTTCTGGGCTTTCCGGAAACCCTCTTCTGCCTCTTTGGTTTCTTTGAAGCCGCCCATCATTTGTTTGTGGTAGGCCTCTTTCTGCCAGTTCTTCACCTTCTCTAAGTCCTCGTTCAGCAGGTTATTTTTCACCTCCTGGTGCAAGTCGCTCACCTTTTCTGCTTCTGTCATCAGAGCGACCCAGGCTCTCTCCAAAGTCCCGTACTGCGGCCCTGCGAGCGGCAATAAACAACGCATTAAAATTGATTGAGTGAGAAAGCGAGGACGAAAGAGAAGTTTATTTAGCTTAAGAAGCAACAAAACATTTGCTTTCAAGATTGTCGCTTTAAATCTATTCAAGAATTTCTGCACAAACACGGTTCTCCATGGCCACATCATCAATCATTCAGCACCTCTCTCCACCAGCTGCCTCCACCTCTTGGACCAGTCGGTGAGCTGCTGCGCATAGGCCTTCTCGATCTTGGCACGCTCCTGGATGCAACTCATCATGTCATTGCAGAGTCGATGGCCATCCTCGATTCGCTTTACTGTACGCTTGTAGTTCCCAACCTGAGAAACATGGATACATTCTGAAATAGGTCAAGTCATGGACAGGGCAGCAGTAAAACACTAGAGCTAAATGATCTGTAATTCAATAGAAAACCGTGACTGTCCACTTCTTCACTGTCCTTGGTTCCATATGGATAAAAAACAAACAAATGTAATCTACAAAAATGTAATCTAATCTACAATAATAATACAAATAAATCTAATTAATTTAACCAACCAATAAAATTTGGATTTGGAATGAAAAAAGTATATTAAAATCATCTAAAAAATTGTTCTCTCAATAGTTTTATATTGTTATATATATATATATACTGTATATGTATAATATACTTGTAATATATATATTTATTACATAATACTATACATGATATATCATGAAAAAATTATATAACTAATATTAAAAAAATTACATAAAAATTATAAATATGAAATTGCATAGTGTGTGCCGTATGCATACTATATACTACAGCGATAGTAAGAGTAGTATAACAGTATAGACATAGCCCATCTTCTTAAACAACCAATAAAACAAAAATACAAATTATATAAAAAATAAAACATAAAATGTATTCTTAATATATCTCAATTAAATATAGACATTTTAGGTGTAATTATTTATTTTATCAATTTTAATTAAATATAATATATTTTATAATTACATAGTTTAAGAGCATCGGGATACTTAATTACGTAATTTGGAAGATCTCTCTTCGGATTATGCCAGAAATTGTATTCTATCAAACACATTTTTATATGGAGTCAAAATGATATTTACTTGCTTGTAACAAACTCAAACCTCACGCTAGGTCTGGCTTGAAAGCTTTATATTATCTTTTAAAAATAGATTTCTCTGTGGAGAAAGTGAATGGGATCTTACTAGAGTCTGCTCTATAATTTATGGCAGATAAATCAACAACAATGACACAGTTTTACTATGTTAATACCATGCTGATCAATATAATGTTTGGTTCCCTTTGGCTGAATGACACACTTCCACATCACTGAAAGTCGATTAGTCAATATGATACAACATCACGTAACAGTCGCTAACAGCATGTTCGGCATCTAATCAACCACCAGCGCTTCACAGCCGTAGTTGCCTGTACATGCCTGGACAAATGAGATATGTGTGATTAATAATATTCAAAAACAACATGTAGTAAGATTTTGAGCCTGACCTCCCAGAAACTGTCCGTGGTCTCGTCGGACATGGCGGACTCATCGTAGGCACCCGACATACTGTGAGATTTGGCAGAGCAGGACTGAAGCTAACAAATGAAATTCACCATGTACTGCAGAAAAGAGAAAATGACAAAAGTGATGAGAACATAAGCACTATAGTGCAAAAACCTACCAAGAATAATAATAATAATTCATTACATTTATATAGCGCTTTTCTAGGCACTCAAAGCGCTTTACATTGTCAGGGGGTATCTCCTCATCCACCACCAGTGTGCAGTATCCACCTGGATGATGCGACGGCAGCCATAGTGCGCCAGAACGCCCACCACACACCAGCTTATTGGTGGAGAGGAGACAGAGTGATGAAGCCAATCAGTAGATATGGGGATTGTTAGGAGGCCATGATGATCAGAGGCCAATGGGCAAATTTGGCCAGGATTTTTAATGACCACAGAGAGTCAGGACCTTGGTTTAATGTCTCATCCGAAGGACGGTGCTTGTTGACAGTATAGTGTCCCCGTCACTACACTGGGGCGTTAGGACCCACACAGACCACAGGGTGAGCACCCCCTGCTGGCCTCACAAACACCTCTTCCAGCAGCAACCTAGTTTTCCCAGGAGGTCTCCCATCCAGGTACTGACCAGGCTCAGCCCTGCTTAGCTTCAGTTGGCAACCAGTCTTGGGCTACAGGGTGATATGGCTGCCGGAGAAGTGAAGCATTTTACCCTCTATACCAACCTAACAGGACCTCCTACACGAAAATGATGCTTTGTTAAATACATTTAAAACATCAAAATGTCAAGTTGGACCATGCATTTAGTAATTTAAAAGAATAGTTCACCATAAAATGCATTGGATGCTCTGCAGTGAATGGGTGCCGTCAGAATGAGAGTCCAAACAGCTAAAAAATCATCACAATAATCCACAAATAATCCACATCACTCCAATCCATCAGTTAACATCTTGTGACGCGAAAAGCTACAAGTTGGTATGAAACTAATCCAACATTAAGACGTTTTAACTTCAAACTGTTGCCTCCCGCTAAAATATAGGCCTAAGTCTATAATCCATAATATTGCTTTCTGCAGTGAAAATGTTGTCTCTTCTGAATCATGAGAGAAATCTGCACAGATCAAGCACCGTTTACAACCAGAAACAGTCCAAAACAGCTCTAAACAAAGATGCTGGTGGATTTTATTGAGCGTTATTATGAATTATGAACTAGTATTTTGGCCAGCTGGGTGATAAACTTGTTCAAACGGTAAACCGGTTTGAATTACGGACACGGTATGAAAAAAAAAAAAAATGGCATACCGGTACAAGCGGCTAAGCGACGTTAACTGCATACACTTCTGACTAATGACTGGAGAACTTTTAGAACTATTGATAACACACAATTAATGCTTTAACCAACTGTAAACGACTGTTAACAGAGGCCAGAGACGCTGAAGACGAACGCGAAGAGGAGAAAACACTGTAGCAGGCAGAGCAAACTCACTTCACCATGCGCGAAATATTGGAAGAAAATCCTACATGCTGAATTGGGAGTGGGGGTTGACATGAATGCATCTCTGATGGGAACTGGCTGTGTTCAGAAAAGTTTAGATGGTATTTTCTTTTCATCTTACCTCCATATTGCATATTAATGTAGTATTTAAAAGAGCAGCGCTGCTTTGTTTACAGCTGTACCCAAGGAAACGCTATGTCACAGCTGTTCCATAAGCGCCACCTGCTGGCAGAGAGTGAATTTGTTTCATTCATGTTTTATGTGGCATAATTTCACAAAGCTAAGGTCAGACCATTATGTTTTTGCTTCAAATTGTGAAATTATACAATCTAATTTACATCAAAAGCTGCTCATGTAGCATGTTTGTTTGGATCTTAATTAAAATGCAGCGGTTCTGTTTCATGCATTCTGATTCATATAAAGGCACAATCAGGGGGGAAAATGTGATAACCGTTAAGTCAGAATCCTAAAAAAAACAAAAAAAACATTTAGTGCCCAGTACTAGCCAGGAGCGATTAAATTGAAGTTAAAAACGTCTTGGAAATGTCTGGATTCGTTTCTTACAAACATGCAGCTTTTCGATGTACTGGAGTGGTGTGGATTACTTGTGGATTATTGTGATGCTTTTATCAGCTGTTTGGACTCTCATTCTGACGGCACCCATTCACTGCAGAGGATCCACTGGTGAGCAAGTGATGGAATGCTACATTTCTCCAAATCTATTCCTATGAACAAATAAACTCATCTACATCTTGAATGGCCTGAGGGTGAGTACATTTTCAGCAAATTTTCATTTTTAGGTGAACTATTCCTTTAAATAGTCCAAAAAGCATGAAAAGTGAAGTCTTTTGTTTTGTGTTAGGCATGAATTTAGTTTTCTGAGCATTCAAGACTAATTTACAAACTTGCACAGATGTCCATAATGGGTGCCCTGTCGCTGACTACCAACCCAAGTAGCCTCTTCAATATTAAAAATGTCATTTGGTTACATGCCTATTGCTAAATCACTGACAAAAAGAAAACAAAGTGGAGCCCAAAACAGCCCTGGAGGAATCTTTTAGCAATCAAGTGGAAACTAGATCTGTTGTTCTGGACATGCACGCTCTCATGGATCGGCAAGGATATTTTAAACCAATATAGTTCCTCCACTAACCCAATATTTCTGGGAGTGGAGATTCATGATAAAGACCATCATTTCAACTGAATCTAAACAGAGACGCTGTCTGACAAAGCATGTCGCTGCGAGTTCATATACAACACAGGGAATATTTGCAATAGTAATGGCTTATAAGTTATATTGTTTTGTGTTTATCTAAACCCAGACAATACCTAATTGAATTTGTCGAAGGAAACTTAATTAAAATGTCATTTTTGCCTGTACAAAACATTCAATAACATGCTAATGTGACAAATTAGTAATGTAGAGATCTATGTGATTTTGTATATTCTTCTGTATGTATACGTCTATATTCTGATATTCTGTTTATTATATTCTCACTTAAAGAATAGCCACCAAAAGTCCAGACTTTCAACACAAAGGTGTCATCTCACCAGACTACACAATGATTCAGTATGATTAAATCCCACGGCCACTTTATATCTGGCCACATTATGCCTGGAAACAAACACTCAGCTTCAGTTTGAGGCCTGATTGTATCATGATAATTTAACTCTCTATCAGTGATTGACAACCATCTCGTCAAAGTGATGGACATCAATCAAAGTGAAAACACTGAAGGAAATGACCGAGAACCCAGAGAGAAGAGACAAATCCAATGTCATGGTATACAAACATGACCTGAACGCACAACAACATCTTAAGACATCTAACATAACCTTGGGAGAAAATGTATGAATGTCATACTATGGCTCGCTGAAGGCGTACTAGGAAAACGAACAAAAACGACATTGACAAATGACTCCAGTGACTTCTGAGTGTTTGCAATGATAATAAAATTATAGGCGAGCCATGATGATGTCATGCCATTATTCAGACCTGACAAGATAAGACGTTCTGATTTAAGGGCCTCCAGTTATTTATTAAGACACCGGAAGGAGGGCTGAATAATGATTGTGTCAACTGAAACCAATAAATGTGAACAGTTCAGAGAGACAAAAACAATGACGTACGGCATAAATGCACCAAAATTAACAACAAAGACATCTTAATCTATACACAAATAAGGCGTTTAAGTGATCTACATGTTGCACACAATCCTTTCTGTCATCTGATTGATAGTATCACAAAGCCTTTTTATCACTGTTCAAACGTCCACCTTCAGATTGTGGTTCACGTGTCTTTTTGCTGTGAAATCTTTACTAATTTTTATAAAGTAAATGCAAGAATAACTTACGAATATTGTTAGTAATGATGGTAACACTTTACAGTAATGTTCCATTTGTTAACTATATTTAATGCATTAGCTAACATTGAGCAATGCATTGTTACAGAATTTATTAATCTTTGTTAACATTAGTTAATAAAAAATACAAATGTTCATTGTTAGTTCATGTTAGCTCAGGTCCATTAAATAATATTAACGTTAACAAACGAACGTTAACAAATGGAACCTTATTGTAAAGTGTTACAGTAATTCTTCAAGATGAACACTTTATGGACTGAAGCATCTTTGGTTTATTTAACTATCCATAAATCCTTTTCTTTTAAAGGGGTCATATGATGCGATTTCAATTTTTCCTTTCTCTTTGGAGTGTTACAAGCTCTTGGTGCATAAAGAAGATCTGTAAAGTTGCAAAGACTAAAGTCTCAAATCCAAAGAGATATTCTTTATAAAAGTTAAGAGTCAACCACGCCTACCTAAAACGGCTCGTTCTAACACGCCCCCACATGGAGTCCAGCCCGGGGTCATCACATGTGGTTGCCGCAAGCACGCCGGACGCTCCTTCGTCGAATCCGCCGGACGTTCCTCACTCAAGCCCGCTGTGTGTGACGTTGTGTGTGACGTTGTGAAAGCGAAACTACTTTGTTTGGTCTTCCAAAAGAGGACATTCGGCCAATCACAATGCTCTGGATAGATGGCCAATCAGAGCACACCTCTCTTTTCAGACCGATGAGCTTTGCAAAAATCAATGCGTTTCAGAAAGGCGGGGCATAGAGGAGAAACAATAATGTACAGTATGTGGAAAATGTTTTTTTTTAACCTTAAACCGCATAAACACATTTCATTACACCAAATACACAAAATAATGTTCTTTTTAGCAACATCATATGACCCCTTTAAATAGAAAAATCATGTTTTCTATTTATTTGTTCATCTCTCATCATCGTGTATTGTATTGCATTGCACTGCATGCAATATTATATGCATGTATATGCATGTATTGCATTGCATTATATGTTTTAAAACTACAAAGCTTTTATGATAAAGATTTTATGTAAGTATCTGCTATACTGTTATAATGATCTCATTGATTTATATTACAACCAGAATTTCTAATTTTTTGGTTACATAAATATCAGTATCTGCACAAAATTGCATACTTTTGCTCAGTTTGAGCCTCTTAATAAACCTGAGGTCTTTTTTCTTACATTTGAGCTCCATATTCTTTTCTGCAACATATATGAGACATAAAAGCCTGATGTATCAAATACAAATGAAAAAAATATATATGCAGCTTTTTAAAAATATTTTGTCTAAAGCCATTTTGTCTAAAAACTTTACAGGGTTAAAGAAATTATTGTGCAAGTTGCTCAAAAACAGTTTGGCAAAATGGCCTCAATTTGGGCAGCATGTCCAGTTAATCCATTCAAACTGACGTGGCGGCAGTGGGCGGCGTTTTAATCATTGCACATTACTCTATTTGGCACATCAGACAAAAGAACTGTAAAAGTGGTTGGGCAACCTAAACTGTTGATTGACATAGATCATAGCAACATTCAAAACATTGCATCACAAATGCATAAAACATGCCACATTATTTAAGATCATAAACTTTAATCACTTTCTATATTTAGATCACATTAAAATGTCTTCAAATAAGTAAGACAACTTTATCTTGGCATTAAATACTATCTTTATCTCATTTCAAATTATATGAGACAGTATTAAATAATACAAGCACATTCAAATACAATCTACACGCCAACAGATGGTCACTGCATGTATGAATGCACTAAAATACACACAAAAACAGAGACTCCAGCCATTGCATGTGTTAAAGTAACTCTGATAAACTCAACTAATCATAATTAAATGTATACCTTGAATGCAATGCAAGCAGCATGAAAGCGTCTGCCAAATGCATGAATGCAAATACGAGTCCGACAGTCAAAAACAAAACCCCACGCTTTCCCCAAACAAAGCTCTCCTCCAGCACATGCATCATCTCCTCCATACTGATGACGAACGCTCCAACCACGACAAAAGAGGAAAAGCAACAAAAGGCTCACCGATCCCCCGCGTTCAGCCAGGGCACAGGCTGCCTTCAGATCCCAGGCACGTGGGACCCTCCACCACCAAACACCAAAAAACAACCCCAACTGCTGCTCCGCTCCACACTTTTGTTCAGTTTCGCCTCTTTGTTCCTGGGTTAAGCGTTTTGTTAGGCTTTAGAGTAACTGAAGACGCAGTCAAACTCACTGTATCTCTAATGCTGGGTAGTTAAAAACGCTTCTTGGTGAAAAAAGTGGGTGTTCACAAGTGCAGCAGTGTGCGTGTGTGTGTGTGTGTGTGTGTGCACAGGGAGCGTGCTGGGGATTATTTTCAGGCGCTGCATAATATCATTGCGCCTGCTGCACCCATATCGGCCTAGAAAATAGAAAATCGCAACTTTTCATTTTCCGTCGGTCTTAGTACACGATGTAACTACAGAAGAGTCAAGTTTTAAATAGGAAAAATATAGAAACTCTTTGGTCATTTTTGAGCGAGATGCTAAAGGTCTAATTATATTCAATGATATATGCTAAGCTGCAGCTAAAAGTGCTACCGCCAGACCCAGAGATCGGCTGAATGGATTCGAAAATGGTAAAACTCAACTGTTTAACTCTTAGGGGAGTTGGAAAATGAGCCTATTTTCAAAAAATAGTGGAGTGTTCCTTTAATAATTACAATTGTATAGCAATTTATTCCAGTTATACAGTAATATTATGATAAAACTGTCATGAAATGATGGAAATGATGCTTTACAGTTATGTAATACTTATATATGTGAAATGTCATATATATATGAAAATGATAAACAAAGACCAGGAATGACAGAACCGCTGGAACATTTCTTGACATTTTTCCATGACAGTATTAAATACAGTGATGTTAATGATTGATGAATGAGTTTCTGTGTTATAAAAAGACATGGACATAATAATGTCTAGTGGCATGCTAACGACTGTTTACCAACCAAAGCTTAGCACACATTTCTCATTTCTCATCAGGCCAGTAATGCAGTTATAGTTAAAAATGGTCTAACCAGTTTGTTTGCTTTTGGAAATACCGAAAATGTATATTCTAAATATATACTACCTTTCAAAAGCTGGGGGTCTGTAAGATGTTTTAATGCTTTTGAAAGAAGTCTCTTTTGCTCACCAAGGCTGCATTTATTTGATTAAAAATACCGTAAACCCAGTAATATTCTGAAATATTATTACTATTTAAAACAATTGCTTTCTGTTTGAATATGTTTTAAAATCCAGTTTATTCCTGTGAAGCAAGGCTGATTTTTCAGCATCATTACTCCAGTCTGCAGTGTCACATGATCCTTCAGAAACCATTCTGATATGCTGATTGCTGCTCAAGAAACATTTCTGCATATTATACAAACTGCATATTATTAAGCTGATTCATATTCTTGTGGAAACCATGATACATTTTTCAGGATTCCTTAATGACCAGGAAGTTCGAAATCACCAGCATTTATTTGAAACAGAAATCTTTTGTAACATTATAAGTCTTTCCTGTCACTTTTGATAAATTTAATGCATCCTTGTGCCATGACACAGAGCAAATTCAAGGGACAGTTCACCCAAAAACGACAATTCTCATATCATTTACTCTCCCTCGTGTCATTCAAACCCAATAGTTTTAGATGAACTATTCCTGTAACTCTTTTGACAAATCAGTAATCAG